GCTCTCTAGCTTCTTTTCTGCTGGCTTCGCTTGGTGATGTGCAAACATGGCTCTGTAAGAATTAGAGCAGATCTGATGACTAGTGTTCTCTGTGCTGGAGTATTTGCTTCACAGCAAATGCTTTCCAAACGCAGGCATTTGTTGTCTTGAAATGGTTACCTTTCTTAGGCTGAGAATGAAAGACGTTTACTACAAGTATGGAGTGTGTTTGTAACCAATAGTTACTGTACATTAAAGCAACCAGGAGCTTTAGCGGGTGCTTCATGGACATGGTTTCTGCTGCAAGAGATGACATTTATTCAGTTCTAGACCAATCTGGATAAAATGCATTCCCTGCTAGAATCTTTATCCAGTCAGAATGTACACAGGCTGAAACAGATGTTATATTTTGTGACACATGTCTGTTTCTGATAAATGAGGATGAAGTGATTGGAGACGGAACAAAATCCAGACTACTAACTGGATAAAGATTAGAGTCGACCACCTGTGGACCAGCTGACCAGCTTCTTCTCGGTTTTAATGGTGGTTGGCAATCAACTGGGAAGTGTTACTGTATAACGCCTCATTCTGCACAGGTCAATGAGGTCATTTGATATTACAATATTCATTTTTTCACCAGAGTCAAAAAAAATCAACGGGTGTCACCGTAAACGAGACAAGATGGCACACCCCAGCTGATATTTACTAGCTAATTTAGTATGTCAGATATTTGGCTTTATGGGTTGCAGCGTTATGGATGAATGAAGTACTGACACCAGTCACTGGTGTTTGTGTATTAAATGCATCCTGATTCCTTGCTGAGGAATGTGTTGGGTAACGGTCCATGTTGCTCCCTGTCAGGTACATGGCTCCAGAGGTGCTGGATGACTCCATCAACATGAAGCACTTTGAGTCGTTCAAACGGGCCGATATCTACGCCATGGGCCTGGTATTCTGGGAGATTGCCAGCCGCTGCTCTGTGGGAGGTGAGGACTGCACCAAAAATTCTGGTTACAGCGGACCCAAACACTCAAAGTTTAGAAAGATTTGGATACAGGAATGAATATTACTAATTATTTTGACTCCATGCTTTTTCTGTCAGGCATTCATGAGGACTACCAGCTACCCTACTATGACCTGGTCCAGTCAGATCCATCAGTGGAGGAAATGAAAAAGGTGGTCTGCGAGCAGAAACTTCGACCAAATATTCCCAACCGCTGGCAGAGCTGTGAGGTAGGCTGGAGAGGGCCGAGTCTGAATCACTGCTTTCTGAACAGAACCAGAACCTACATCAGAGATGGGCTGGACTTCTGCTGGAACACAGCCTTGTACCACCACACTGCCATGATTAACTGTCACATGACTTTCAGGTTTCTGTTGTGTTCATTTGAAGTGTGTTGTGACCAGTGATGTCAATCGGATCACTTTTTTCAGTAACGAGTAATCCAACGCATTATTATTTTAAATCCTGAACTGCAACAGAATTTAGTCATTTAGTCAGCGGTTACATTTCTCTCCTTTCTTCTTTGCTCCCTTATATCCAACAGCTATATTCAATTAATGGCTGAAAATGTGCAACTGTGATGAGAAGAGCTCCACAGTTCATCTATCTCCGGCAGTAGAAGTGTGAAGACGTGTGGGTGTTATGCCTGTTGGCTCTAAGGTGGCTGATGGATGGAGAGTGTGTTAATGAGGACTGGAGGAAGC